TTCGCATGCAGAATTGTGGCAGAGATCTAAGCCTATACTCCTCCATCCCCAACTCCTCTTGTTCAGTCGGGATTCGGCCTTCTGATTCTCCTTTGAGTCAGACTAATTTCTAAAATGTTACATTAAATTATTGAACTTTTATGATATCTGCAATACATTTAGGTTAGTTCTGTTCTGTTTACCCTGGGGGGTTATTGCTGCTCTCCCTGCTCTTATCTATGCTAGGCTGCACGGATGGAGTTCTTGCCCAGAACCCATACCGCCAATCCAAACTGTATGCTAATTGTCAGTCATCTTTGATGATAGTGGTCCTGACAGAAATAAACAAAAGAGGTTTAAATGTCTGTTCTCTCTGAAGCCTCCATTGGTTTTATCACATAGCTTTTCCCAGCATGTATTCAGTACTTTTCTCCAGAAGAGGGCAATAGTCAATAGATTTTGAACTGTTTAGCAAGAGAACCTGGAGTTAGGACTCCAGGGAGTGTTGGTTAGTAGCTAGTCTCTCCCAGTACAGTCAGTCATTATCCCAATAAACACATAACAGAAGTGGAGCTGACAGCCAGACAATAATACAGCAGTTAAGATTTGTGTTGTGCAGTTTGGAGAGGATACTCAATCTCATTTAAAGGAGAGCTGGCACAATATGTCACCCCACAGGACTGCCAAAAGAACATAATTACTGCTGCTTTCCCAATTGAGATGCATGTCTTAACAGGCTTCCTCCTTATTTTAAAATCGCTCGCATATGTATTCAGGACTATGTAGTCTGTGAATCAGCTGTGCTGCTGAATTATATTTTCTAAAATTGCTGTAGATGAACATAATTAAGATCTAGCGAGATGATCGCTTGCAAAGTACAATTTAAGATGTTATTTGCATGCTGATTTCTTTTCGCTTTTTTGTGAAGTCCTTTCCGTTTTTTTCAACCTAAGCAGGCACAGAATAAATGTCGGTTTAGATAAAGCAGCTCTCAAAGTCTCCTCTAGCTGTGACTGGTATAATTTTGCCTCACTAACACCCACGTATCGTATGAAGTATTAAGGGAGCACTCTCTCTGTTTAGGGAGTGTTGTCAGTGGTCTCCCTCAAGGAGAAATTACTGTGGCAATGCTAATAAGCATTTATGCTCCCTTGAGCAAATTAAAAAGGGAGAAGACAAGCACTCTTTTCTAGACAGAGTAGTAATCGCAAAGCCCACGGCGCTCATTAAGGGTAGCATTGCCATCACATTATTTGAGTGACTTGATTTCCACCGTTATTTCTGAGTAAAAGTTGTTTCAACACCCCCTGCCCCCAGGGGACCAGATTTTATTTCACTAAATGATATATTTTTTACTTTTATGCTCACAGATTCAGCCATCTCTTCAGCCACATACAGTATATTCTATTTTATTCTACTGAAATCTATACATTGGCTGAGAAGAAAAAAGAAATATACATATATGTAAACATTATTCTATTCTATTTTATTCTATTCTATTAAAGGCCTATTATATTACATTATATTCTTCTGGTCCCATTTTCCCGCATTTTCCTATTCTCATTTCTATAGCCAAATAATGCCTAATGCCTATAAATAATATTACAAAATAAAGGCAGAAAATTCAGAAACTTCTTTTACCTAAATATCTTTTGGATAGACTAGAAGCAAATTACATTGAACTTTCAGTCATTCAGCCAAACAGGTGTTTCAGGGCACATGCAGATGGCTGTACATGCATGGTGGAGGTTAAATATATTCTCAGAAGATCAACAATAGACATGAACTGACCCTTTCAAGCGAACCCATGTGAAGATCAAGTAAACTATAAAGCCCCTGCACAAGTACAAAGTGACAGGGCTGTGAGCTCTGGGTGATTCACGTTCTCAGAGGGTCAAATAAATGTTTCCGAGTGAATAAAACCCTGCTGAATTACTTTGGTCTAACATGGAGTTATTGATCGTGGCCAAGGGCAGTATAGAGCCGGGCCGGAGCCTGGCTCTCTGTCTGAATTAGAGCTCTGTCGGCACAGCGCAGGTCTGATGTACTCACACTGTGCAAATGTAGAGTGAAGAAATCGGATTTACAGCGGCTGTACTGCAGTTTGCTATGGGGATTGTTAAGAGCCTTTTCCCCCATCATCATGCCTTGTACAGCACATTGGGAGGTCAGTACATGTTCAGCGCTATTTATAGTTATGCAAGTTATACCAGAATGTAATGTAGCCTAAAAGCATGCAACAATAATGTTAAGTTAAATAGCAGCATGTGACCTTCAAATTATAGATACTGACATGCTGCATATACAGTTATACTAAAATGATGTGTTATTATGTGTGCAGACAGACACACACAAATCAAAATATGCAAGGGAGACATAGGAAGTCCCAGGCTCAAAGTGAATTTGATGTCAGTGGCTGCTTTGAAAATGAGAGATAGGGTGGAGAAAGGGAGGGAGATGGAGAAAGAGAGAGTGAGAAAAGGATGACTCACCCTTTGAGAGAGCCTCCTGTAACTTCAGGCAAGCTGTTGGGTGCATAAATAAATGATGATATGGTGTCCCAATGTTGGTTTTGTGATGTCAGGATGAGCCTTCTCCCTCCCTCTTCCTCTCTATTTATCTCCCTCAGTGTCAGGTATACACCTCCTTTTTTAAGTTGGGGAAAGTTGAGGCATTGATTTGTGTAGGGTCATTTGTATAGTGTGAAGTGTAGTCACTTTGTGTGTCTGAATTTCTGAAGGTGTTGACATGTTGATGTGCTGTCAATGGTGTTTTGACTGTGTCTGCTTCTGTCAATTAAGCTGAACTGTGTTAACGTAACTTGTTAACAAGATCTGTTGCAAAATAATTTTAGTTGGTGCTAAGTAAACACATTTTCATCGCAAGAAAAATGTAAAGGAGAAGAGGTAGGATTAAATAATTTTTTTCATGTTTTTAAAGAACTCTTTTATGCTCATCTGTTTATTTGATCAAAAATACAGCAAAACAATAATATTGTGAACTAGTATTATATATATAGTATATAACGTACTGTATATTATATAAAATAAGTTTTTTTTTAAATTTTAGTATATTTAAAAATGTTTTTTACGTTTGACCTCATGATTCTCATTTGCTCTGACATGCACTGTGAGCTGTAAGGTCTTATATAGACAGGTGTGTGGCTTTCCTAATCAAGTCCAATCAGTATATTCAAACACAGCTGGACTCAAATGAAGGTGTAGAACCATCTCAAGGATGATCAGAAGAAATGGACAGCACCTGAGTTAAATATGTGAGTGTCACAGCAAAGGGTCTGAATACTTAGGACCATGTGATATTTCAGTTTTTCATTTTTAATAAATCTGCAAAAATGTCAACAATTCTGTGTTTTTCTGTCAATATGGGGTGCTGTGTGTACATTAATGAAGAAAAAAAAATAACTTAAATGATTTTAGCAAATGGCTGCAATATAACAAAGAGTGAAAAATTTAAGGGGATCTGAATACTTTCCGTACCCACTGTATATTATATAAAATAAGTTTTTTTTAAATTTTAGTATATTTAAAAATGTTTTTTATTCCTGTGATGGCCATTACTCCAGACTTTAGTGTCACACAATCATTCAGAAAATTCAGAACAAATCTTTTGTAACAATGTAAATGTATTTACTGACACTCTTGATTAAGTTAATGCATCCTTGCTTGGATTAATTAGTATGAACTAATATTAATGATTAAAATAAGCATTAATGTCTTTAAAAAATATTCATGTCCTCTACATTTTGTTTCTATCTATCTATCTATCTATCTATCTATCTATCTATATCTATCAATCGTATGTGTATATGTTATAAAGTGTAAGTTCCTAAGAATGTGCAAAGGCACTCAATTTAAACCTAAAAGTTTATTTTAGAAAATAAAACATATCGTAGATTTGATGTGAATCAATATAACACCTAGTAAAAAGTGTTAAATGAAATGCTTGGAGAATCATACACATCTAAACAGATTTTCTAGGCGGGAAAACAGTCAACCCCGGCATCTATTTGGACAGCTCCCCTGTAATATTACCACACGCATACATATTTCATCCTTTCTTTCCTCCTCCCATCCCTGTCATCCCTCCTTTCCTCTCCTCATCGCTCTTGCTCTTTCTCTCTCTTCCTCCTGAATACTAATTCAGCCTCACGGTTCTTAATATGTTTCAAAGCACACCTCCTGGGTTAGCCCTCTCCATTTCTCTTCAAAGGTTCTTCTTCTGGCAGCGCTGGTGGAATGCAGTGACAGAATGTGTTTAAAAAAAGAAGGAAGAAACCTTGCTTGCTTGAGGCAGGGAGAGTGCGCAGCATGCATGTGTGTGTGTGTGTGGGTATATTCAAGGTTACGACTCTCCACAGACACACTGGACATGACAAGCAAACATGAGCCGGTTCTATATAGATGTGCAAAACTCTTCGATTTGAGCTGGAGGGGTGAGAAAGCAAGTAGAGAGGGAGTCCGAGAGATCAAGAGGGATAAACAGATGTTTGTACATGCTTTGGAGAGTGCAAACGCAACAGGAAAATAAGAGCAAGGGAGGGGCGGCAGAACTGGGTGGGGAAACAGATGCACCGCATTGTCAAGCGATAATGGAGAGAACCAAAGAAAAGAGATGCCCCGTATACGATTGCTCAAGATATTGATCCGGGAACTCCAGAGAATTGCGTGGAACTTCTGATCGATGCTCTTTCCTCTTGTTGTCATTGACATTTCTCAATGTCATTGTTAGTTGTTTGATAGAACAACCAGTAGTATCAATTATAAAGGGATTTATGGGAACATAAGTGGCTGGTGATGGTGGTTCTCTCCCGTTTCACAGACACACTGACTTAGTGACTGACTAACTCTGATATCTCGGCTCACCAGAGAGTATTGAGAGGGTTGCAGCGAGGCAAGGAGGGAGGAAGGGAGGGAGGGAGGGTGGATGACGGCGAGAGTGGGTTGGAGGCACACACACACACACTTGCTCTCGCATACAGCCTTACAGAGACAGGAGGGGAGATTCAGAGACGCGGAGAAGAAGAAGAGGAGTGAGAGAGAGAGAGAGAAGGAGAGAATGTCTGCTGAGAGGGTGGCTCTCGTTCCTCGTTCACAAACCGGCCCTCGCTGAGACACCATGGGCTGTATCGGCTCCCGCACCATCAGTAAGACCCTCTCTGTTTTGATTGCCTTTCTTTTCCAGGTTGAAAGGAGACCAGCCAGGGGTAGAGGAGCATCCACCCTCTCGGGGAAAAACGTGTGTGTTTCTATGGAAACCTTCTGGTTAAAGGCCGTTTGTCCTCCAGGCTTTGACAGTGATTCGGCACGCTGCTTGTGGGAAGCTGGGTTGGAGGTGTCAGCTTTTGAGAGCTGTTAGTGTGCCTGGAATTGATAGCCGTGTGTGTCCGCATGCATGCGGTAGGTGCACACAGAGTGGTTTTAAAGATCCAACGTGGAATTTTTGGAGCGTACAATTGCATTCAATGCACCTCCAGAACGACTCGCAATATCTGACACTGTGCTAAGGTCACGTCAGGAGCTGTTTGTGTGGAAACAGAAGCAGTTCACAGGTTTGAGCGTGTACGTACATGCAGCAAGGTTAACCGAAGAGGATGTTTTTGGGATCAGAGGTGCTCACACGCAAAAAGTGCTCTGGTGTGACGTGGAGCCGGCTGAATGCATCTCACATGTAGGTCAAATTCTGCAAAGTCAACGTCACCGGTGGGCACCTGTTCCCGCCAAACGGTTAAGCGTTAACACAGCCGTAGACGACAAATTGAGGGTGTTTTGGCGCGATTAATATTCCTCTGTAACCGTGAGACGGCAGGCAGGCTAACTACCCTGGAGAGAAGACTCTGAATTGTTTCTCTTAAACGTGTTTTACGATGCCGTACGCCCATTAAGACGAGAGCGCGGTATCAAAACAAACCGAGGCAGCTGATGGAGTGATAAATAAATAAATGCTGCTGTATTTGACCTTTGATTGTCATTGAGCTGTCATGGCAAAGGAACAGAGAGTCTGGATGGAAGATTTCTTTCACATAATAAAGCTATTGCAGAAAGTGTAAGAGTGGGATACATTGGATAATTAGGGAAGCCCGTGCTGAGTAACTAAATTTAACCAACTCTTATAGAAATACTTAATTTTTAAAGAACTAAAAACTCATATGTCTTCAAGTTGTGGCACTGGAATTGGCCGGCTATCTGATATGCTCTAGAGAGGAGCGTGGATGGCATATTTAGTGTGTTTGGCTATAAATAGTGTCTACTTTACAGTGACCGAAAAGCAGAGGAGAGAGGACAAAATGCATGCTAAATAATATGGGTCAAGTGCCTGATATAGGCCTGTGGTTGTTAACACCTTATTTTGAATGAAGCAAACACTTCTCATGTAATTTATGTGCTGTCGACATGTTGCACTGATGCTCTTAATGGCTCAACCAAGGCCCCGTTATTGATTTTTTTGGTTATTCTTGACTTCATGAGCTCACCAAGCAACCATTCTTAGGTTGATCACCTCAAATCCTTGTGAGATTCTGTGTTTACAGTAAAATGCATTGCATTTGAATTATACTTTCAAACTTTTTTTTAATATCAGGTTTGGGATTTTAATTAAAATCACTTACACAGCTATTGCTCCTCTCACAAGGATTGTGTAATGAATCAACCACAGTCTTTAAAGTGCACTACAGAAATACCTGAATCTGGTGACAGATTGTAAAGGGCAATTGCAATTTACTAATCAAAGTATTAAATTAGAAATACCCTCTTGCAGCTTTCAGTAAACGAGCATGAAATGACACTTCACAGGCTTTCCTCATTAAAGTAGTTATGTTAGCTAAGCTGTCAAACATATTCACTGGGAATATGTTTGCTATAATTAAGCTCTTCAGTACTTTACCAATCAGCAGTGAGGGTCAATCAATGGCTGTAGACACAGCACTAAGCATTAATGAATTAAGTGAGTATTGTTTATTTTGAACAGCTACTTTGTGGGTCTCCTCTAGCTATTTAACATATGATTAACATATGACAGATATAATATAATATAAATAAATAAATATATATATATATATATATATATTTAAACACACACATACATACATACATACATACACATACACACACACACACACACATATATGACACACACATTGATCTCCTTCATGATGGTGGTCTTTTTAAAATATGAACCTATGTTTTTCTATATATTCCATAATACATATTCATAGGCGAATATATTATGATAAATTTGCTTGTCTAGAGTATGACAAAAACAATCCTTTCTTCACAATGATGATGTGTTTTTTTTATATAGTGCTTATAATTTTCTATATATTCTATACATATATACAGTATATATATTCCATGATACATATTCCAGAGCACTGTAGCCAAATGATGAAAGATCTGACCATATTGTTCAATCCCAAGTAAGTGTCTCACAGGACAGGAGTGAATAATAACAAGAGAAGTGTGTGTTGGCAAGCTTGAAAGTCCAGTCACACACTGCTGTGTAATAAAAGAGTTTTCTCTCGTTTCTTTCTGCTCTTGTCTACTCTAGTTGTATAGTGATCTGTTTTACTATTGAAATTTGTGGCATTTCATATTATTGAGTCCTTTATGATAAATAAAGTCCTTTAAGTCTCTTTAGGTAATAGCATCTGTTAAATGAATAAATGTACATATAGATGGGTAAACCGGCGTGTGTATTTGTTTATCACAGGATTGTGGGTGAGAACTGTCGTGTAGGTGTGTTTGGGAGGGCATCAGGTAGATGGCTGAGCTCTTGGCACTAATGCCGATGTTTGCACTGGGTCGCTCTCTGTACGTGTTTGTTCTGTTCTGAGCTATTGCGTTACTCAGGGATGCCTCTTTGTATTGATTTAATTTCAGGCTCTGAAAGAGGGACAGACAAGCTGTCATGCAGATGGTTTCTCTCTACATTTCTCTCTCTCTCTCTCTCTCTCTCTCTCTATCTCTCACACAAACACATACACTCAATCTTCTGCATGTGTGTGCATTTGAATGTGATTGCATGATCCAGCTTGTGTGGTGACAGACACGGTCCAAGGTGACTGGCTCTGTATGATTGAGAGGTTTACTCCTTAAGGAGGAGGAGGAAAATGCAAAAGGGGCAGGAGGAATCACAAAGAGAGAGAGAAGGACTGCAAAGAATGAGTCAGACGAATGAAGGGAAGGAGGGAGGGAGAGAAAGAGGGTGATGGAGGCCCAGGGAGTGACAGACAGGAAGTTCTCAAATGTCTTCTGGTGCATTTGTACCTCTTATCAAGATGGGTAAACCGGCGTGTGTATTTGTTTATCACAGGATTGTGGGTGAGAACTGTCGTGTAGGTGTGTTTGGGAGGGCATCAGGTAGATGGCTGAGCTCTTGGCACTAATGCCGATGTTTGCACTGGGTCGCTCTCTGTACGTGTTTGTTCTGTTCTGAGCTATTGCGTTACTCAGGGATGCCTCTTTGTATTGATTTAATTTCAGGCTCTGAAAGAGGGACAGACAAGCTGTCATGCAGATGGTTTCTCTCTACATTTCTCTCTCTCTCTCTCTCTCTCTCTCTCTATCTCTCACACAAACACATACACTCAATCTTCTGCATGTGTGTGCATTTGAATGTGATTGCATGATCCAGCTTGTGTGGTGACAGACACGGTCCAAGGTGACTGGCTCAGTATGATTGTGAGGTTTACTCCTTAAGGAGGAGGAGGAAAATGCAAAAGGGGCAGGAGGAATCACAAAGAGAGAGAGAAGGACTGCAAAGAATGAGTCAGACGAATGAAGGGAAGGAGGGAGGGAGAGAAAGAGGGTGATGGAGGCCCAGGGAGTGACAGACAGGAAGTTCTCAAATGTCTTCTGGTGAATTTGTACCTCTTATCACTTCTCATCCAGAGCTGTCCATAAGGGGAACCAATCCTCAGGTTACTTTTAGGTTTTATTCTAAAAGTGCCCCCTGACTTTTCTTATTTTAAGCTGCTGCCATCCACTTTCACCTGTCTGTTCGCTCAAACTAAGTTTGAGACAGCAGAAGCAGTTGCTTCTTTTGCAGATTTCCATTAATATTAGGTTGAAGGTCACTTCATAAACCGATAATTTAGAGGTGAGTTTTAAGTCCCAAGTGAAGAAATGTTCAGCCTCACAAGTCAATACCATAATGAAATGCAATAAAATGTTCACTCTTTCTTGCTATCTCTTTTATAGCTTTATTTGTAACTGAAAGATTTTGGTTAAGTTAGTAATGCAATTCTTTAGATATATAGCACAGATAAATCACAAAAAAAGGTGTAGCCCCTTCATCATTATCATTATATATTTATAGATTGTTACAAATAAATGTTGTTCTTTTGAACTTTCTATTTATCAAAGATTGGAATAATGACTGCTAAAAAAAATCAGCTTTGCCAACATAGGAATAAATGACTTTATAAATAAATAAAGGGGTCAAAAGAATATTATTTTATGTATTATTTTGTGTATTTGGTGTAACGAAATGTGTTTATGTGGTTTAAGGTTAAAAAAACACATTATTTTTCACATACTGTCCATTATTGTTTATCCTCTATGCTCCGCCTTGCGTAGATTTTTACGAAGCTCATCGATCTGAAAAGTGAGGTGTGCTCTGATTAGCCAGCTATCCAGTGCGTTGTGATTGGCCGAATACCTCAAGTGTGTGACGAAAATGTTACACCCTTACCATACTGGGATGCCCTGTCAGACCGGAGCAACGAGACAAAAACATTAAAACCCATTATAAACGAGGCATTTGTTGCATCCAGTGGGGACATAATTACGAATTATAATGACTTACACAGTCTTTTTACGCGTTGCATGGTAAACATAAAACGTCTCCGGTTACTATCATAACCTTGGTTCCCTGAGAGATGGGAACGAGACATGGCGTTAACGCCCTGGGGACTCCCTTCCTTCCTAACCTAACTGAAATCTTATTGCACAACGCCAGTGAAATTGCAACTCTCACTGGCCAATGCCAGCCAAGACGCCCCTATATAATGCGCCGTATTGGCGGCATAAACTCAGAATCTTCGACTGAACCAACAGCACAGCAGACCTGAGCAGTGAACACGGTGGCCAATGCCATGTCTCGTTCCCGTCTCTCAGTGAACCGAGGTTACGACAGTAACCGGAGACG